TCTTTTATTCCTCACATAGGGAGATCTCCCTTCAGGTTCTAGTGGGTAGTGAGTAATCTACCGACTTGTGTACGGAGTTGAATTTCGAAACGAAATGAGTTATGGTCATTCTATATTAAGGTAATGATGTATACATATATATTTTGATTGTCCTAACTTTTAATATATGTACATACATACTTATGTATATCGCTAGCTTAGAAAGAACAGTTGCTAAGTCCCATTTTAAAAATTTTACAGGAGAGAAAAAAATTAAAATCTTATCAATGGCCCTTATTATGAGCTGCATTCGATTTTCGATCTTCGCTGGCTATCGAAGATCGAAAGTGAAATTCGTATTATGAGCTATGCAAGCGTGTCGAAATTTTCGTTGAGTATCGAATTTTCTGTCGAACAGAATTTTGCTTTCGATGGTGTAGCGAAGNCAGCACTTTCGACCACAGTCGAAAATCGAATGCAACTCATAATAGGGGCCAATGTTTTTGTTCTGAAACGAATCTCCGGATCTTTGATAAAAGAAATCATCTCAATTTCCCCCATTTTAGCTTGAAGGCACTAATCGTTAAGAGCGTGTCAGATGTGGCAATGCAATATATTTCGAAGAGGCTGTCAGATTGAGAAATTTCAGAAAGCAGTTGTATGTAGTTTTTATTTCCGAAAGCCGAATTGCATATTGCTAGTGCAGCACAAGCAAGTTGAAATATATATCCGGAATCGGTTTGCGTGCTTTTAGTTGCAGTCACACCTTGCAACTTTAATTTCTGAAAAGTGACAGAAAGATCTTCTGTTCACACGTGGGAATAAAATCTCTCTTTCTCAATTTAACAGCGATCTTCATCGAAAAGTTGGAAATATCGCCAAGTCTGACACGCTCTTTAAAATTTGCTCGCAATTAGGGTAACTAACAAATTTGTATTTTAACTCTTCAAAAAGTTTATAATAAACTTTATGCAAAATAAATTCCTTTGTAGGGTTCGGTACAATTTAATTGTTACAATAACAAGTAATTTTTAAGCAAAAAACACAACCGACTTTAGTTCTCATATAAAAATTGAGAAGTACCGTTAATTTCTTTATGACCCAATGATCGGATCTAAACCAAATTGGTATGGGACCACCCCTAAAGCACCAACTTTCCGATAGTTAAAGAACTATCGAAATGGGTTAATGTGGTCCAAAGTTATGCGGTTACATACAAAGAAAAATATTAAGATGAATTGACAACCTTCCCTTTGTTTGAAGTCGGTTGAAAAGATAAAAGTTAATCAGGTAAATTATTATAAATCTTTTAATAGCTATATTTTAACATTTCTAATTATGCTCTGCGCACGCCCATGATCATAGGTGTAGTTTAAGACACCATTTGAATAAAAGTTCGGTGAAATAATGAAGTTCTTTATTTTACATCTATAATTAAACCTTCTTTTGTCAAAAGCGTACAGGAATATCTTTTGCATGCGCTGGTGATAAAAGGCTCTTTTCCTAATAGCCCAGTTATGCATACTTAGCTTTGCAGGAGAATTGGCACATAAGAATCTGGCGAATGGACTTTGCGTGTAAGCGGTTACCCAACGCATAACATGTAGAATTCTGTTGGGTTTTGATTTTTACGTAAAAATGGTATAGCAGTGCAAGTATGCTGCTGCTGTGCTGCCTCTTATTGCTGCAGCAGTTGAGGTGCTCGCCCCCATCATTGGACACGTAGTTGCTTCTTCCAATGTGGTTGCGGCTGCAGTACCATCTAACTCGCATTCAGCCACAACTTCGAATGTCTTCTCCACAATGTCAGCGAGATTGTGAGAAGCCTCTGCCATGTCGAGTGCTTCAAAGCCCACTTCGCCCGTTTCATCACCATCGACTGCCTGCACAGTTGTAATCTTAATTATGCGCTCTTCCAGCGGTGACAGTGCTTTGGCCCGGCTCAAACCGTTTATACCACTTCTCTGCTCTGCCTGCCTTACTATATTTTGTGCGAGTATGAAGTCTGTTTGTAGGTATTAAAACAAAACATTAAAAAAATAATCACATCATGAAAAATTTATATACATACTTTAAATCGCTCCAATACTTCTTCCATTTTGCACCATCCTTTTGAGTGCCGCCAAGAGCATTAAGGCTCACCGCTAGTTCTTTCCACTTTTCTTCGCGAGATTCGGCACCATCTGCCGTCATAAACCTATAATTATAAATAATTGGTATTCGTTTGTTTATGGTAAAAAGGCTTCACACTTATCGTTTGCAATGTGTACATTGTCTTCTAGATAATTTATTAAAAACTCTTTTTGGTTTTCACTGGCGCGCTTTCCTCTTGGTATCTTCTCCATCTTGTTTTCACGTATAAATAGGCTGTGTATAATTTTTTTACATATGATAAGTTTTGACAGTTGGTTGCACTGTTTCACAGAACGAGAATCGTCAGGGTTGTGAAAAAGTGAAAAGTTTCGTTTCGTTCCACTTTTTTTTCATGTGAAAACACTTTCACGTTTCTTTTCATTTTTTCACTGAAAGCGAATCGGAAGTGCAATGAAAACGCGAAAAAAGTTTTAATTTCACCGTTTCACAGAACGAGAATAGACCCCCGGATTCGGTAATTAGAGAATGAGTGAAAAGTTTGCTCACAAAAATGGAACATAATCCCATGAACCAAAAATACAAGATCACGTAAGAACGCGACGTTGTATTTGTAACTGGTTTTGAGAAAAAAGATTGCGAAAGCGGGTTCGTCAGCTGAGCGTTTGTTTACATCACAAGCACCACTATTTTACACTTTTATTCAAGTAAAGAAGAGTTAATTCAACATGACAACACATTTTAAAGCATTTTGTTGCATTATTTTACCTAAATTGTGCGTTTAAAGTGGCTGACAATAATTTTGGCTAATTTTGGTTTTCGTTGTTTTCTTTGCTTTGTTTACTTTTCGCTCGTTTTCCAGTGAAACAAGATGGCGTAGAACCCGCTAAAAAAATCGACTTTTTTCACTCTCTTGTTCTTACGTGATCTTGTGTCTTTCGTTCATGACATAATCCAGAAGTACGGGAAACCACATTTCGTGCCCAGAATTTGAGAAACAGCTGCTTCGCGTTGTTTTTGTTTTTGTCACTTACAGGCCTCTTCTGCACGTTACCGACGATTTTGTAACCGGAAAATTGTATTACCAAAAAATGTTACCAGTTCTTGTCACCGCGATTCGGTACGTTGGTAATGCAGTTAAAATATTCAGCAATTCAGCTATGAAGAATTATGCAAATCCTGGCATTGCATATTTCACGGGGCAATAATTTGTTACCAGCTTATGAGGTGGTAACAAACTCTATCGGTTACAAGAGTATACAGAATGCGAAAAGGGTTTAAAAATTTACAGGAACTTTATTTACCGGTTACAAACTTTTTATTACCAGCGCAGAATAGACCTGTTAAATGCAAACTCGTGGAAAGTAAATTTTTAATTCACAAAAAAAAAAGATTGAAAATACATCAACAGGCCATTCACTATTCCTTAAAAGCACCAAGCAAGGTACATTGAACAGGTAGTATCAGTAGAGCAGCTGATTTGATTTATTTTCNTGCAAACTCGTGGAAAGTAAATTTTTAATTCACAAAAAAAAAAGATTGAAAATACATCAACAGGCCATTCACTATTCCTTAAAAGCACC